TTTTCATAACTTTGAAGACATTTTTGGGGCCTTGGGCCTTGGTTTATTTGTAATTTACTTGCTGCCGTAAGGGGCAGCTTGAAGGTGTAATGGATAGAGCGCCAGGCCTGGAATCAGGAAGACTCATCTTCCTGAGTTCAAATCTGGCCTCAGACACTTGCTAGTTATGTGACCCTGAGCAAGTCACTTAACCCTATATGCCTCCGTTTCTGCAGATCCCTAAAATGAGCTGGAGAAGGAAATGGCAAACTACTCCAGTACCTCTGCCAAGAAATCCCCAAATGTGTCACAAAGAGTTGGATATGACTGAAACAACTGAACAACAACTGCCCCCCTCAAGAGTAGAGAGATGGTTCCCTATTTCTCTGCTTAATGCATTCTCAGAGCATTAGAGGTTGCTTTTTCTGTATTCTTGGGTTTCTTCATTGGAGAAAGGTTTTCAAGCATTAGGTATTTGGAGACAGTTTTAGATGTCATGACAGAGCTTGCCCTTCATTCTCTGTGGGACATGGGCTCACACCTTAGCCCTTAGCTTCTTTGCAGTGTAGGCAGCGTGGACTGTCTGCCTGGCAGACACCGGAGCCTCTCATTCCCTGGGTCTTTAAGGAGCTCTGGCCTGATTCTTGCCAAATACTGCTGTCCATGCTTCCTTCTGCAAGCAATCAGAGGGAGGCTCGGCTGGGCCAGTATGGACTTGGGTATCAGCAATTCTGTCTGCAATTTGTTTAATACTTCTCGAAGTCATGTTTACAAATCATTTAACACTCCTTCAGAAAATAGTGATGCCTTCTTGGGTTACCTTATTTTTTTTTTTTCCCCTAGGGTTATAGCAACTTAAATTTGTTAGAATAAATTTGGGAAAAGAGAATGATAATAGTAATATCCTAATAGTCTATACACAGTGTCCTCAAAGTCTTAGTTCAATTTAAAGCTTTAATTACTTAAAACTGTATGAGGACATTTGGGATACCTTGTATATGGTTTTATAGTTTGTAAAGTGCTTTGCATGCCCTATCTTATTGGATTCTTAGAGTCACCTGATGAGATAGAGTATAATATTACCACGTTCACTTTGCAGTTATGTGACCCACATCTCCATTTTCTGATTCTGCACCTTTGTACAAATGGTACCGTATATCTAGGATTCCCTTCCTTCTTACCTCTTCCTCTTTGAAGCCATTTTGTTGTTTAGTTATTTTAGTCATGTCTAACTCTTTGTGACCCCATTTGGGGTTTTCTTGGCAAAGATGCTAGAGTGGTTTGCCATTTCTTTCTCCAGCTCATTTTGCAGGTGAGGAAACTGAGGCAACCAGGGTGAAGGGACTTGCCCCGGATCACACAGCTAGTAAGTGTCTGAGGCTAGATTTGAACTCAGGAAGATGAGTTTTCCTGATTCCAGGCCTGGTGCTCTATTTACTGTACCACCTTCTGGACATTACTTTGCATATATTTTGTGTCTAATTACTTGTGTACATATTATAACCTTCCAGTAGACTGTAAGCTTCTTGAGGGCAGGGAATGTTTTGTTTTTGTTTCACCAGCTCCTAGCAGTGTGCCTAGTATGTAGTAAGTGCTTTTTGAATTAAATGAGGAAACTGAGGTTCAGAGAAATCAAGTCGCAGAGGCCAGCTGGTCCAAACTGTGCTTGAATAAGAATGTAGTCTATGGCAAATCTAGCTTTCACTGAAAGACCTTGAAGGAGGGAAAACCCATTACCTCCTGGGGCGTTCCATCCATTTTTCGATAATTCTGAGTATTAGGAAGATCTATTTGGAAATGAGGCAGCCTGGCGCAGGGGGCTTGTAGGCAGGAAGGGGCTTAAGAGAAGGGAGTAGCAGTTATTAAGGGCCTACTATGTGCCAGGCATCGTGCTAGTTGCTTTACAGATGTTATCTTGTTTGACTTGCATTCCTAGCCTTCCTGGGATACTTATTAGTTCTGTGATGCTGAGTGAGTCACCTAACCTCGAGGTGCTTCAGTTTCTTCATTTGTAAAAGGAAAGAGTTGGTCTTGATGGCTTCTAAGGTCACTTCTTGATGTAAATCTGTGATCCTGTGAGTTGACTAAGGTCAAACAGCTCATTAAGCTGGAATTCACACTCAGGTTGTCTTGGTGGAGACCTCTTTCTAACACATCATGTTGACTCTCCTACTGGTGAAATCCAATAAGCCCTTTGTGAGAAAGCAGGCGACCATAGACTTGGGGCTTTTACAATTTTTGATAATGTGTAGAAGCTAAGTTTCCTGACCAAATTTTGTTGTTGGACATTAAACAGACGGCAAAGCTTTAGGGTTTGGAGCCTGCCACGGGGGTGACCCAGGAAGCATATGCAGTGGCACCCTCCTGCCATGTGCAGTTGGGAGTCTGATCTTAGAAACAGTGCTTGCTGTCTGCCAGATGGATGTGGTAACCCTCCTGGTGGAGGAGGGACAGAGTGGATCAATCTTGTTATGGCTACCAAAGTGCAGGTCTGACAGGGCTTCATACCAGAGGAGTGAGACAAGGAGGAATTTCCCTGGATGTCTCTTAAGTTCCTATTCATGACTGAGGAACTTTTCTGCTTTCATGTTCAGCCAAGGAGGAGGCCTGAGTTTGCCTCGTCAGGAGCTCTTTTCATCTGGACATTTCTGGGTTCTATTCACCCTGAAAGTGAATACGTTGTCTTTTTGAGATCAAACGCTGTAGACTGTAATAGAGCTGAAAATTGAAATGGATGAACGCCAGAGGTCACTGATCACCCCATTTTCCTTCCTGCAGGGTGACCCTCATATATTGGGAAGACCCCCAGTATGGGAGACAGAGGAAGCAGCCCTCTTGCTCACTGGCAAGTGGCCAGCCTTTGCCTCTGTCCCGCACTGGCTTCATTTCTGAGGAGGAATGATAAGACCGCCTCCGTCTCCCTCACTGTGTTGTCTGAGGAAGGCGTTTGTAAACTGGAAAGGGGTTCTTAAAGGGAGAGGCTGTTGTTGATACTCATAGAAACAATTTTGTAGTCTTCCCCACCCCAAATGAGAGGATGAGGATTTTTACGCTTTCTCGCACAGTCTCAGGGTCTTGGGCTCTCCCTGTTTATTTTCCGTGGCATTGGTGTCTTGTATAGGCTGGAGGATGACTTGGAGAAATATTTTTTGGGCTGCACATTTTTGGGGTTTTGATAAGAGTGGATCTGTGGATCTCCAAAGTGGTGGTGTTCAATCTTTCACGTATACCATGTCTCCTGCAAGTTCAGAGAAACGCAGCGTCCGAGTCCCAAGACCCTTCCTTTGCCTGCTGTGGTTGAGAGGCAGCAGAGATTGTCTGTGGGGTGTCTGGGTAGGGAGCAAGGGAGTGAGCAGGAGAGAGTGGGACCAGCGGGGGTGGGGCCTGGCGGCCTCTGCAGGAAGAAGACCAAGCGTCTTGGAAGCAGATAACTTAGGTTCCACAGTTTGGCTTTCTTGTTCTTGATAGATTTCCTGTCCTTGAGCTCCCTCATCAGCAGCTGTCTCGCCTGAACATCTCAGCCTCTTGGCCCATGGGGTCCCCAGTCACCCGAATGACTTGGCCTGACCTTTGGGTTTCCTCTGCTTTCCTCTTGTCTCATATCCTTTGCTCCAGGCAGGATAAAACTCAGGCATCTTCATCATCAAACTGAGGAATAACACCACCACCACCACCAGCAGTACCTCAGATTCTTGTAGTGCTTGAAGGTTTGTAAGGCCTTGGGATCTATTCAGGACTTAATACGTTATGGTGTAGACAAAGTAGGCTGATTCCACCTTCCTTGGTCTGCTGGTGGTGGCAGTGGCTTCTTGGGCACGGTGAATTTCCTGGTTCTGTTTAACACTGTTCACCTCTGGGATAGAGGATGCCCTTGGTTTGTTTTGAAAAATGGTATAAACATATCAGCCTCCTCAGAGGCTGAGCTCCCGGAGTTCTGCAGTTCAGACCTGGCTTGTGTGGGGGGAGTTACACAGTCCTTCTGTTTGGGTGGTTATGTATATATGTGGGGGCCTCGGGCTGGCGCGGGGGGTGGGGGGGCCACACTGCAGGTTGTATTGTTTGTCGTCTTGTGTAGTGCACAAGTAGTGTTTACATTACTTGTAGTAGTGTAGTACACAAGTAGTGTGTAGTGTAGGGTTTGTGTCTTGTGCAATGTAGCTGCAGAACGAGCTGTTATAACCTTAGGTTCTGTTATCAGAAAGATGGGCAGTGTGGTGGAGTGGGAAGAGCCTGGGATTTAGAGTTGGAAGACCCAGCGCTGAGTCCTGCTTCCTCCACTTTTACCCTGGTGGACCCTGGGCAAGTTGTTAAGCCTCTTGGTGCCCGGGGCCACTCTCTAAGACTGTATGTTGCAGGTTACAGGGTGAAGGGAGTTTGCACACTGGGAACTGTTTACAGAATGGTACCACAGATTTGGAACCCCGGCCCCCTTAAACAGACAGAACCAGGAGCCTTCCTCCCCTTTATCTAGCGGGGTCAGGGTGTAAAGCTCTGACATCCGTCTGTAAGGGAGGAGGTGGGAGCCCACAGTCACTGGATGTACCGTCAGGCTTGGCTGATGGTGTTCAGTGTCAGGAGTGGTGCTTTTCTCCTCTTCATTTTATTCTTGGCTCATTGGATTTGGGGGAAGGGGAGGGCTATGCTGGGAAATGAAGGGGAGGTAAACAGAGCACAAGGTATCAGTAAAGATTAAATATGTGGGACAGAGCAGTAAACAGTGGCTGTGATGGATGCTCTCTGGTTTGCTGAGAAGGATGCTGGTGCCCAGAGAGGTTAAAGCCTTCTTCCCCATCCAAGGTCACACGGCGCATAGCAAGCATCTCTTGCTGTAGAACTTAAAACAGCAACCATAGCCTGCCTTGGGCTTGCATGGGACCTTCGAAGTTGCCTCATCTAACCTCTGACCTGTTTGATTCCTTCGCCGACATCTCTGGCAGATGGCCGTGGATGCGGGCAGGGATGTTCTGCTTGGTGGCATGCAGGGTGGCCCGTGACTGACAGAGCTCTGCTTTCCTTGGCAGGTTATCAATTGATTGGGAGCCACTCCGGAGTGAAGCTGTGCCGCTGGACCAAGGTATTTATTGCATGGTTAAAGTCTTGTCAAAATTTGTTCTACAGCGTGTGTATATTTACACACACACACACACACACACGCCTGCCCTCATGCGCTGTCCCAGAAGTCTTGGTGGCTTTAATGCCTTAACATGACACTAAGATTTTTGGGACACCTTGTTTATATATGTGTGTGTATATAATATATAAGATACATTTTATGTAACAATATATGTTTTAGATAAAAATGAAACAGATACATTTTATGTGAAATATAAATATAAAATACATTTGCATAAAATATAAATATGAGATATATTTTATATAAAACATAGATAATTTATGTAATACACACACATGTATATACACTCACTGAAGTTTGCTTTGTAGCAAAGTGTCACATGCCCAAAAGCTGTGCGTTTGCTGGTGCCCAGTGACGCTGCCTTCAGGAGTCAGGTGTGGGGGTTTGGAGCATGATGAATTTTTGATGTGATTTCGGACCAAGGTTACTGCTGATCCTCACCATTCAAGACAAAAACTCCTACATGAGCAGCTTTCTCTTTTTTTTTTCTTTTTTTCTTTTGCTTTTTGGTGAGGCAGTCGGGGTTAAGTGACTTGCCCAGGGTCACACAGCTCATAGGTGTCAAGGGTCTGAGGCCAGATTTGAGCTCAGGTCCGTCTGACTCCAAGGCCAGAGCTCTATCCACTGCACCACCTAGTTGCCAGTAGCTTTTCCTTTTCCGTGAACAGTTGAAAGTGACTGGAGCCCCGGGCAGAAGCAGGAGCCTGGCACAGTTTGCTTTTGGCCCTCTTCCTGGTGTGTTTTGCTCCTTCCCCAGTCCTCTGGCCCCGTGTCCCCTTTTCTTGGGGGTATGGCTGTTTTGCACAAAGCGGAAGCAGGTGTTGCGGTTCTTGGCCCAGCTCTGCTGACCAGCTGTGGGACCTGGACAGTTCAGTTGACCTCTCTGACCTTAAGTTTCACAGAACTTTGTAGAATTTCAGAGTTGGAAGAGACCACCTGGCCAGCTAGTCCATCCCATGCCTGGAAAAGAATGCCCCGCCCGCCCAGCCGTGGACCCCTTGCTGCACCCCGCACCCTGAGGGCTCATTCAGCCTTTGCTTGGAGCCTCCCCGTGAGGTGGGGCTCAGCTCACTCTGAGACTGGGTGGTTCCCCTTCAGGAAGCCCAGCTTTGCCTTTTCATAACTTCTGCCCATTGCTTCTGCTTCTGCCTGCGAGGCAAGCAGAGCAAGCCTCATCTCTTCCACATTCTTGAAGAAGAACAATCAGTCAATCAGCCAGTGTTTATTAAGCACCTACTGTGTGCTGGGCCCTGTGCTAAGCCCTGGGGATGCTAGTAGAAAGAATGAAACAATCTCTTCTTGCATCAGGCTTACCTTACAATGGGGAAGACCACAAGAACCTATACAAATAAATATAAAATAAAAGCAGAATAAATACAACAACATTAAAAGCAGAACAGACTTTGCTTCTGATCTTCGTGGTTTTCTTCCGCGGCATCTTGAAGTGTTTCATTTTGATGGCTTCAGTGCTGTAGCTCCTAAGCCTGGCCAGTGAGCCTCGCCTGAGGGTCTTTCCCACTTCCTGGGCCACTATGACCTGAGTCTGCCCCTGCCCAGCAGGAATTGGGATGTTGCCAGATTTGGATGTAAAAAAAATTCTTGGGGTCTTTCTCTTGGGGGGGGGAGCAGGGATGCTGGTGCCAGGGAGAGCAGCTGTCAGCCCAGTTTCTGCCCGAAAGGCATGGAGGGGTGAGCAGAGGGAGATGGGGCCAATTTCTGGAGCCTCCCAAAGGGACCACTTTTATTGCCTCATTCATCTTTATGTGGGTGGGGAAGTGATGAATATTGTAATACTGTGTGATTTTATCGTCTGAGCTATATTGAAAACCGTCTTTCAGTGACAGTTTAGAAGGCAGGGGATCTGTAACTCTTAGTGAAATGCCAGGTATCCGAAGCAGTGGTTAGCAAAGTACAGCATATGCCCCCCATGACAGAAGGGGAGGCCTGCACCGAGGCCATTGGGCAGGAGAGAGTCATGGCTGGAACGCGCGTCAAAGTCTGGCAGGTTGCGGCCAATGCACATAAATCCACATGTGTTTAAACTGTCTTGGGATTTAATATTTGGTTCTCTGGACTAATGACTAAGTCTGAGCAAAAATATTTTTAGTTTAGAAATAAGACATCTCAAAGCAATAAAAAACAAACAAACCTCCAAACTACTCTGAGTCCTGAGTAAGAGAGAACATGGGGAATCCAATTACTTTAGACAAAAGACTAGCATGTTGTGGTGATTAAGTCTACAGGTTATTTTATTTCAGCAAGGGACAGTCATGAATTGTGTGCTGTTGACATGAACGTGTAAATGTTTGTTTTGTCACACTCTTGGGTCAACTGAGAAGTCTGCTGTAGAATATTCTGGATAAGCAAAGTTAGCCTGCATTATTCACAATTGCCTAAATTAATCTGGCTTCTTCAGTCAGTTCATGGATGGATTGGAAGATCAAAACATCCCTTCCCTTCCTTCTTTACAGAGGTAGGTGGACCGAGGATGTGGAATACTGCACCTACTGTCTGACATTGTTGAAGTGTTGGTTGGGTTTGTTGATCACCTACCCACCCCCCCCACCCCCCTTTTAGTCTGTGTAGCAAGAGATGGCTCATTGGCTAGGGGGAGGAGGAAGGATCTATTGGGAAGGAAATGGAAAAACAAAAGATATTAAAAATGCAAATCAAAGGGCCTTAGGCTGTTTGTTGCAGATTTCTTAGCATTAGTGAACCCCAGGGTCATTGCATTGGATTGAATAAACAGGGCCCCTTGGTGCTGTCTTCCTCCTCTCCTCTTGGGGAGAAAGATATGTTGTTCTTTTTAAAATATTTGGTGTCATCATTTCAAACCCTTGACTCGTGTATGCACATTAATCTGCCACTGGTTTTGGTTTCTCACAGTCAATGCTGCGAGGCAGAGGAGGCTGCTACAAACACACTTTCTATGGCATCGAAAGCCATCGCTGCATGGAGACCACCCCCAGCCTGGCATGTGCAAACAAGTGTGTCTTCTGCTGGAGGTAAGGGTTCTCTGAGAATGAGCACTGGCAGTGACGGTGGGGCTGAGCATGAGGCCGGAAACCCTTGTGCCCATTGTCCTCAAGACTGCCTTCTGGTTGTTACTAAAGCCCCTTGGCCTAAAGTCAGTGAATGTGGGCACCTGAAAATCCGGAGGGGGGGGGCCATGTGTTTGTGATAAGCCGGAAGGGCTTCCAGAGCAGAGCTGAGGAGGGAGAGCATGCCAGGCCTGGGAGTGGCTGATGGAGGGTGGGAGGTAGAATGGAGGCCTGTTTGACATGAAGGAATATAATGTGGAATAACGATGGAGGCAGATTGTGGAGGGCAGGAATGCCAGGCTGGGAGCCAAATACTCTGACCCAGAGCCACTGACGGGCACAGAAGGTTTTCAGAGCAGGGCAGAGACACGGAGGTCATTTCAGCAGGAAGAGACCAAAGGTGGGGACCTCGTAGGAGGCTGTTAAATAGTCCAGGTGAGAGGTAATGAGGCTACTGAGTGAGATGGGTGGGTGGAAGTCAGAGGGAGGCAGGTTCTAGCTCTGGATAAGGAAGAACTTTCTAAGACTTCACGCTGCACAGATATGGAAAAGGCTGCCTTACAAAATGGTGAGCTTCTCCTCACTGGAAAAGGGCCCCCAGAGGCTGGATGGCCCCTGGCGGGTAGAGGATTAGATTGGGTGAACTTGGGCCTCCAGTTCTAAGCTCCTGTGTTTGAAATGTGGCTCGATGTAACCATGGCAGAGTGACTTCCCCGCGCTGTTTCTCAGTGTCCCCATCTGTCAAATAGGGATGTTCATACCTTCCTCATTCACCTGATAAGGTTTTTTAAGACATAATTTACATGGCTGTCTTTTGTTTTAAACTATCAATTTTCCTTATCTTCCTCCACCCCTGAAAGCTTTCCTGGTACCCAAAAAAGAAAAACCATTTAAATAAAACCAACTAATGCCAAAACTGCACCTGATCGTACTGGACCCGCCTTTCTTATCCATGGTACCCCCCTCTATTGGGAGGAAGAACAGTTGGCCAGGACGGAGATCATTCCGTGCAGTTATCGAGGTTGACGGGTTTTTGGTGGTGTTGTCCTTCACCGTATCTTAGCCCTCACTGTTCGCTTAGCTCTGCTTTCTTCACTGCATCACTTCATCAAAGTCCTCCCGCACTTCCTGGAATTGCTCACGCTCGTTGTTTCTGATGATGCAGGAGCATCCCGTCGCATTCCTGTCGGCCGGCTTGGTTAGCCCTCCCCCAAACGGTGGGGACTTGTCTTGTTTGCTTTTTTTGGTGCTGCTTTGAATATTTTGTTTTTATTTTGTTGCCACCGTGACTACCCATGCCAAGGAGTGGGATGTCTGGGCCAGAGGCTCTGAACACTTGAGTCACTTTGGTTGTGAAATTCCAGTTGGGGGCAGAAAGGTAGAGTGGAAGATGCTAGATTTAGAGCCAGAGGATTTGAGGTAGAATATCATCTCTGCTACTTCTTCCCTTTGTGACCCGAGCAAGTCACTTGATATCTCTAGGCCTCATCCATCATTGGTCTAATGAAGTGGTTGGAATAGAAGACCTCTTAGGTCCTTCCCATTCTGAAGTCTGTGATCCTGTGGTCATATGATTCCCAGAATTGGTTGGACCAATTCACAGCTTCACCAACAATGTATTAGTGCGCTACTTCCCCCTTTCCCCTTTCCCTTCTTCCCTCCCTTCCTTTTCCTTCTTTCCTTCACTCCTTCCTTCACTCAATTATGGCTTGATTTTTAAGGTTACCTTTAAATCTAAATACTGTGATCTTAAGTTTCCAAAATTTTCCATTGTGAAATTGGAAAAGCATAACTACACAAGGTATTTCAGAAGAATTTTTAAAAAACCTGTAGAAGTCCTCATAAAATCGAAATTGCATGTTTGGGGAACCCCCTCCCCAAAGGAACCTTACGCTGCTATGTGCAGTGAGCTTTTCTTCCCCCCTTTCTAGGAAAGGACTTTTTCAGTTGTTGCTAGTCTCTCAGAAACAATGCTCTCCCCTTCGGAAAAGAGCTCTCCATGCTTTGGGGTCTCAAATAAGGAAATTCTGATGCTGAAAGGATCCTTTTAGGTGTTACAAATTTGTTGGAAAAAATTATTCTAGAGCATGTTGCTTTTCAGCTTGTTCGTGTTATATCTTGTGTGGGGTTGGATGTAAGCAATTCAGGAAATTGGGAATTTGCAAATGAAAAGATGGCCTAAGCTACAGAGGAGGCCCTTCTTCTTTGGCACCTGATAATCCTCTCTCTGCATCACTAGGGCCTCTGCTAGCTCTAGGTCCTTTATAATAATTTTCATAAATTCTATTGCTTTAATTTTGGTAAATAGTAGAAAGCTGATTTCTCAATTTGCAACTGACTTCCTACAAAGCAAGTAATTTTTCTGATTGTCTGTAATACCACCATTCTAGTTTATTTATCATCTTGGTTAAAATGGAAATTGGCTTCACTAGAACGTTTAATATTCCCTTTACCAATAGATCGTATTCAACACAATTAAAGGAATTAAGAAGCCAAAATATGTGCACAGGAATAGGATAATCTGTTGTTCAAGGTGGTTGGATGGAGTTAGCTGTGGGACCTTGTGGGCATTTGAATTATATCCTGCTTAGAATGAGGCATTTCTAGCCTAGTGCTCATCGTTTTTCATTCTAAATTTGCTGAACAGGATGGGCAGTCTCTGCTTGAGGCCCCGACCCTGGGGAGCCGATGCTTTGCATTTCAAGATTAGAAATGAATTAACAGACCTCTGTGGGGAGAACATATGTCCTACACATACTACCTGTCTTGAGCCAGCCATGTTCCATCCTGCACTAAATTATGAGTACTAAATTCAGTCACGTTAAAGAAAAAAAGGAAGCAAATAACAAAAGCTTCACAAATTCATTAACTTAACGAGCTTGCAGGAAGACACGACTAAAGCCTGCTGGTAAAGAAATATTAATATATTAACTTTTAAAATTAGAGTTTACCATCTGTTCCATTTGAGGGTATTATAGCAAACACATCAGAAGAATCCTAGTAAGACGTTGTTTAATAGCTTTCATAAACTTTTTTTTTCTCCTGTTTGTGGAGATACTCTAAATTTATTTTTAAAATCTTCACAAAGTCCTCAGAGTTTTAGTGCCTAGAACAGGGGTGGAGAACCTGTGGCCTTGAGGCCACATGTGGCCCTCTAGGTCCTCAAGTGTGACCCTTTGAACCCAAACTTACTTGGATTCAGTCAAAGGGCTGTACTTGAGGACCTAGAGGGCCCCATTCCCTACCTCTGGCCTAGAGCTTCCCTCAGTGTTTAGGCCCTGCTTGCCCTACAACATTCCTCTGCCATGCTGGCCCCCCTTCTCCTGTTGAGGAGTTCTTTCTGGGGGTCTCAGTTTTGGGGATGAGCTCAGGCTGGCTACTCTTTGAATGAGGCAGCTGTGCTTCTGGCTTTCTGGACTTTCCTGTCAGACCCTGGCGTGGGCCCTTTCTCTACACATTACTGTTTATCAACTCCTTTTTATATGTTGTCTTCTCCTTTCAGAATATAAGCTGCTTGAGGGCAGGGTCTGTCTTTTCCTTTTGCTTTTATTTGTATTCCCAAGGCTTTGCACAGTACCTGACACAGAATAAATGCATTGCCTGGCTGCATTGCCTGCCTGCCTGCCTCAGCTTAGTTGGGGGCAAGGAGAGGGGAGGGAGGTAAAATGGCCATAAGTCTGAATTTTTTTTTAAATTAAAAAAATTCTGTACTTAAACACTAAAAGAAAAAATATTTCCATGTAGACAATAGAATGTTAAAAAAAAAAAGATGATTCCATGTGAATTTATGAATGTCTCATATAGTTTTGCTTTTGGCTCTTGGTTTTTGAAAGCCATGCCAGGGGAGTTCAAGCTCTGGGAGGACCCCCAGGCCGGGAAGGCTTGGAATGCAGTCCAGGTGACAGTTTGCTATCTTAGGAATGGCCTGGCAATTAAAATTTTTGGGAAGTGGAGGTGTTGACACTGTGTCACTATCAGTTTTTTATCCAGTGTCAATTTTTCAGTGCTAACGATTTGTTTCACCAGGTTGTTCTGGACTTGTACTCAGGTCTTCTTGATTCCAGGCCCAGGGCTCTATCTACTGCATCACCTTAATTTCACAATATTTTACAAATTCACAAATCCACAATATTTCACAAAATAATTTCAGAGGAGTAATAAGCACTAACTACTGGGAAAACAAGGACAGACCTCTGGTAGAAAATGGCACCTGAACTGAGCCATCACAGAATTGGAAAGTTGGAAGTGACCTCATTGGTCATTCAATTTAACTCGAAAGGAAGCTTCACGATGACAAACCTGAATTTTTTGTTGTTGTTGAGTTGTTTCAATCATGTCTGACTCTCTGAGACCCCATTTGGGGTTTTCTTGGCAAAGATCCTGGGGCGCTTTGCCATTTCCTTTTCCAGCTCATTTGACAGATGAGGAAACTGAGGCAAACAGGGTGAAGTGACTTGCCCAGGGTCACATAGCTAGTCAGTGTCTGAGGCCGGATTGAACATCCTGACTCCAGGCCCAGTGCTCTGTGCACTATAGCGCCACCTGAGGTCATCTTGTTGTTTGTCTTTCATTTTCGAAGATGGTCGATGATGTCATGAGGTGATGTCTTGACTCCTGCATGTTGGACTTAAGTGAGGCAGAGCTGTGCAAAGTCATCAGCCTCACTCTTTCTTCTCGAGTCTAGTGACAAGACAAAAGTCAAGAGGACTGGCGATGGCCTGGGGTGCAGTGGTCACCTGACCTCTGTGTGAAGACCTCCCAGGAGGGGCACCCCTCCCCTTCTTGAAGCAGCCCATGCTGCTTTGGGACATCTCTCATTGTTCGTCAGGCAGCTGAAAGAGAGAAGGCTATGAAAGGCTTGGGAAAAACGACCGATCTTGTTACTTCCACAACAAGGCAGTTGAGAAAAGAGTGGTAACTACTGACCCCTAAGCCGTACGTGCTGTGAGGGCATCCTCGTTGGA